ATCACCAGAAACAAATTCGGTTATCCCACCATCGACCTCTATATATTGCATCCTGGTGCTTTCTTGGGCAATCTATCACCAATCATCCTTCAGATCCTATGACCATCTTCACTAATTTTCTGATCACTAAAGTAAACGTTAGATAACTGCACAGGAGCCCATCACAATCTTCAAGCTCTATAAGTTCTTAACAGCAAGCTCAACATTCTTATGAATCCAACAACTATTCAATGAAGCACCCCAGATTGAAGCAAGTGGCTTCATAGGCATTCTTCGTATGAGCTTTACCTACCCTGCAAAGCAAGTTCACCACTTAAATTTACCTTAGTAGAAATTTAGTTTTGTTGGATTTTTTTTTTTTTATAAAAAGTAACATATCATAAATTATGTATTTAAAATCAAATAATTATAAAATTTATCTATCAATAATTTAAACATTTTGTAAGTAACTTTATTTAATATAATTTTATTTTATAAATAATCAACTAAATACCAAACGTAAATACTATATTTAGATTAAAAATCACTTTCTTTAATAAAAAAGATATATTTCTTAAGCATGAAAAACAAATGGGTTCATTTGAATGATCACATTTTTTATTTCAATAAAATTTATTTTTCGCACTTAAGAAATTACGATTTTCACTAGAACAATCGACCATTCACAGAAGAAAGTTGACTATCTTTTTATTTTTGTTGTCTCCACAATGTTCCATGAAGCAACGCAATCCATTACTATCTTAAGGTAGTCGACTTCCATTAATTTTAGGGCACTTAAAACCAATAGCAATTGATAATGGGGCTGATGGTAATTGTAACCTAAGGGGACCTTGGTCCTCCCAAAAATTTTAAAGCCCTTTAGCATGTATATATATTTATATTAAATACATATAAATTGGCCTTCTAATAAAAAATATTAATTTTATTATTTTTTGTGTTTTATAAATTAAATTTATGTATTGTAATTTAAGAAAAATTCAAATCACATTTATATTCGTTCATTTATTATATCTAATAATTATTTCTTGTAAATTTTTAAAATTAATAGATTTGTCACAAATTTTAAATCACAATCAAATGATTTTTAAAAAAATTCAAATTAATTTTCTAATTTTCTCAAAAAAAATTCAAGTTTTCAATCGAGCACCAAATATGTTTTTCTTTTTTTGTTTTTTAGTACAAGGAGATCGAAGTTTAATTAAGAAATTTAAGGAAAAGAAAATAGAGATTTATCTTACTACAACCCATTTTCTCCATATATTTTTTATTTTTATTTTTACTTTAGGTCTCTATTACATGTTGTTGTAATTCTTTTTCAAAACAAAAAAATCATATTGAAAATTCTTTACAAAAAGACAAAAAAACACCAAATTTCTAGTATCAGCATTTTACTTTCATTCTTTTAAATATATTTAGTTTTTTCGTTTTGATAAAATAATTAATAATTAATTTATTCATAATTTTTTATTTTACTTTTAAATTATAAAAAATAAAAAAATTTATGTAAAAAAGTTAATTGTAAATCATGTTATTGTTAAAAGTATATATAATGTTGTCATAGTAATATATTTGTTTTATAATTTTATGTGCTTATCATGTTTTATTAGTATATATTAATAAGTATGATAAAATATGTTTTAAGAAAAAAATATATATTATATTATTAATTGGTCCCCTCAAAATTATATGTTAAGATCCATCACTGGTCATAGTAGTCACTCCTTAAGATAGACAGTTGATTGCTTATTTGTTAAGTTTTATACCAAGACTTTGTTACCTTTTTAAAATGTGTAATAGTCGATTTCTTTATCGTAGGTAGGGGTGTTTATTCGGTCAATCTGATTAATTTTGAATTGAATTATCAAAAACCTAATTAATCAAATTATTTTATTTTATTTTCATTAATCAAATTAAATTTATTAATTTCAAAAATAATTCGGTAAGTTTGATTAGTTTTTTTCAATTAACCAAATAATAAATATATTTAAGTTAAATCATATTTTAAATTCTTAATTTCTTATATTTTAAACAAACTAAATAAAATTATCCAATAAAATATTCAAATACCAAAGCATTAAGTTAAAAACTCTAATAACTTATGAAATAAATTGATCACTTTCATATATTTTTCATTTTATATTTTGATTAAATTTTTGGTTAATTCAATTTTTAAACTGAATTAACCAAAAATCGAAATTCTTCTAAAATCATTTTTATTAATCAACCAAAATTAATTCAATGACCAATTAATTAATCAAATTAAATCAATTCGATCGATTAATTTGATTAAAACCAAATTAAAAATATCCCTAATCATAGGTAGTTGATTGCTTCTTTATGCATGAATATGATAATCAACTACTCTTGATAAGACTATGATTTTTTATATTATTTTTGTATCGTATCATCATATTATATTTTAAATTATCAAGTCTATATCATGATGACAGTTGCATCGCCAGAACATTTTTTAAGTCTGGTAATTAGTTAGTTATAATATATCTCTCATTCCTTTTATCCATTTATTTATTCTTCATTTTTTTATTATCCAATTGCAAATACTCTTACTATTTTTCATGTAAAAACCATGAAACATCAATTTGACAAAAAAAATTGAAAAATTTTAATATAAAATGCACTAAACTTTTTTTTTTTTCTAATATCTAAAATAATTAAAATGGGACATACAACAGCGGACTGAAATAGTGTTATCTTTTATAATGCACAAAAGTATAAATATAAATTTTTCACACATAATCTTTTCATAACAATAATGTCATTACAAAAAATTAAGATAAATTAATAAAAAATTTACAATATAAAGAGATTTTTTCACAATTATCAGGACAAGTTTTTATAATTTAAAAATACTGTATAATTGCTTTATTATCAACATTATCAAATATATTTTTTTAATATATGTAATTAAACAATCATTTATCAAATTATATCTCATTTGACTATGTAATATTTCTTTATTATATCCATTTCTAAAATCATTTTTTGTATACTCACAATCACAATTGGAGTTTTAATAGATAAATGATAATTTTTCTTTGTTTTTATTAAATTTTTGTTTTTTTAAAGGACAAAAGATAAATATGTGATTCTTAGCTTCTACTAACCATAAATTGACCCCCAAATTTTTTATATGATATATTGACCCCATAAATTCATTTTTAGTGTGCTCAATTTGTATATTACTCAATATTAAACAAAGAATGTTAAATTTCAATGGGTCAAATGACCTCACTAGTTTGGCTATAGCTATGCCCCTGCATGCTGATCAGATTCTCTTTGGATCTAAAGATGGATGTTTATATTTTAGGATTAATGTCATGAATTGATCTGAATAATAAATAAAAATATTTAATATGATATTTAAATTTTAAAAATTTCAAATGTGATATTTGAATTATAAATTTAATAATTAATATAATACTCACTCATATTTTTAGCTCCAAATGATAACACTTAATTAACAAATACTATTTCAAATACCATATTAATTAATAAATTCATAATTCAAATATTACATTAAAAATTTTTAAAATTTAAATATCAAATTAAATATTTCACTATAACTTAAAAGATCATTTGAAAAGTTATCCCTATATTTTATGACGGGAGATGATGAGGCAAAGGTGATCCTTACAACTTTTCACAAAACAAAAGATTTTTGCTTAGAAAGATTACGAGGCTTGACATAGATAACATACCAAATATTGGCATCAAATTTCCCTTTGTATTTGAATTGCTAGACTATAAAGTGTCATACGATGTTCTAATTTTACAACTTTGTAGGTGCAAAAGTTATCAGTGTCCTTGATCTATAGGAAAATTATTCTTTTCCTAAAGAAATCCATTTTTGAAGATAAAGAGTTGCTATACCTATTCGCTTAGTTAATAAAGTCAACTTTACACTCGTCAGATCAGTACACGCCCGATTATCATATCACCATTAAAGAGAAATGACATCTAGACTCCTTATCATAACATAAGCTTGCTCTTACCTTTTTGTTCATGGAAAAGAATTCTTCCAACTATCACCATTAACGTTCTATCAGTGTATTATCTTATAACAAAATTAATTTATAATTTGATTAAGATTATTAAATGTAGCTGCAACTAGCATTGACTTATATGGCCCTTCTTCTATCTCCACATGAATTTTTTATCAACTATCAATAATTCTGATCATATCACTATCCATTATTTTCATATATAAGATAAAAAAAAAATTTAAGTACGAGAATATGAACTCTTCTTCCCTAAGCTTTCTTGACATTCTCTGCAACTTATTTTCTTCCTTCAAAAATTCCTAAACACTTAATTAACTTGAGTATTGAAGTGTATTTCACATAAGTAACGTTAGTGCCTCTTGATTGTACTTTTTTGCTATAGGTACAAATGAGTCCCAATTCATCTTCTACATGACTATCCAATTCAACTTCAACTAAAACACCTTCAATAAAATCGTTGATGATGTCGTTTTGAATCTAAAAAAAACATTTTTACTTCTCAAGTGCAGATATTGGATAGGTTAAAGTTTACTTGTTGGTTCAATAAAGGATTTGAAATGTAAGACCAATCTACTCTAATTATTCTCAGCAAACTTAACAACTTTGTTTTATTTTCTTTTTTATATAAACACCGAATTATCAAGCGAATCATGTCATTCAAGTTTAATTTTATTAAAATTTAAAAAAATCATGTACGATTATGAATTCTTGTACCTATAAGCATTCACACTAAACATTTGATTTTATTTTGTATACTTTTAGAATGCAATCTTTTAAAATGAAAATTTTTGCCCTTTTTAACATATCTTCGTCAAAAAGATTTAATTCGTTCATAAGTAGGGTTGCGTTTACGTTCAAACCTTGAAAAGCACTTAAGTGTAGGCCCACACATTGGCCCAATTTTTGGTTAAAAATGAGAAAGTTGGGCCGGAAACTTGGGTTGGAATGGATGATTTAGCCCAAAAATAAGTCCAAACCTTTTTAAAATTGTGACCCATCAATTCGAGTCTCCCTCTTTCGATGATGGCTCCATCTTTCTCTTCCATGCAAACCGAAACCATCGTTACTTCAGCTTCCTTTTCTTTTCCATTTCTACCCATCCTTACGCCTCAAATTCACCCTACCATACCCTTCACAGTAAAAACCAGAAACCATGTCACCCTCCAGGCACTCTCTTCTTCTTCTTCTTCATCACCAACCAAAGACGTATGGAGACGACCCGGTACGACGCGGTTTTACCGATCAAAAACGCCCCAAAACCAAACCTTTTTAGACCACAGCGTCGACATGGAAGAGCTTTTGGCTTCAATATCCAAAACCCAAAACGAAAAAGACCTTTTTACCCTTCTATCCCCATACAAAACCCGGCAACTCTCAATCCGCTTCATGGTATCCCTCCTTTCCCGCGAAACAGACTGGCAAAGATCGTTGGCTTTACTAGACTGGATAAACGAAGAAGCTTGTTACTCGCCTTCACTCTTCGCTTATAACGTTGTTATTCGAAACGCTGTGAAAGCTAAACAATGGGCAGTTGCCCATGGCCTGTTTGAAGAAATGCGTGAAAAAGGGTTAACACCGGACAGGTTTACTTATTCGACATTGATAACGTATTTTGGAAAAGAGGGTATGTTTGATTCGGCTTTGTCTTGGCTTCAAAAGATGGAAAATGATGGTGTTTCGGGTGATCTTGTTTTGTATAGTAATTTGATTGAGTTATCAAGGAAGTTACGTGATTTTTCCAAAGCCATATCGATTTTTAATAAGTTGAAGAGTTCAGGGATCATGCCTGATCTTGTTTGTTATAATTCGATGATTAATGTATTTGGGAAGGCTAAGTTGTTTAGAGAAGCGAGGTTGTTAGTTAAGGAAATGAGGGATGTTGGGGTTATGCCGGATGCAATTAGTTATTCAACTGTTTTGAGTATGTTTGTTGAGAATTCTAAGTTTGTTGAGGCGTTATCTGTGTTTGCTGAGATGAATGAGGTGAAATGCCCACTTGATCGTACTACTTGTAATATTATGATTGATGTTTATGGTCAGCTTGATATGGCGAGGGAGGCGGATAGGTTGTTTTGGAGTATGAGGAAAATGGGGATTGAGCCGAATGTTGTTAGTTATAATACCCTTTTGAAGGTTTATGGTGAGGCTGAGCTTTTTGGGGAGGCAATTCATCTTTTTAGGTTGATGCAGAGGAAGGATATTGAGCAGAATGTTGTTACGTATAATACGATGATTAAGATTTATGGCAAGTCTCTTGAGCATGAAAAGGCAAATAATCTTGTGCAAGAGATGCAAAATAGAGGGATTGAACCTAATGCCATTACGTATTCAACCATGATATCTATATGGGGTAAGGCAGGGAAGTTGGATAGGGCTGCAATGTTATTTCAGAAGTTGAGGAGCTCTGGGGTTGAGATTGATCAGGTGCTTTATCAAACTATGATTGTTGCTTATGAAAGAGCTGGTTTGGTTGCTCATGCTAAGCGCTTGCTTCATGAGCTTAAGCAATCAGACAGTCTACCTAGGGATACTGCAATTACTATTCTTGCTCGTGCTGGTCGGATTGAAGAGGCTACATGGGTTTTTCGGAAGGCATGTGATGCTGGTGAGGTGAAGGATATATCTGTGTTTGGATTGATGATTGATCTTTACTCACGGAACAAGAAGCATGCAAATGTCATTGAGGTATTTGAGAAGATGAGGAGTGCTGGATATTTTCCTGATTCTAACGTGATTGCCCTGGTGCTGAATGCCTATGGGAAGTTGCGAGAGTTTGACAAAGCAGATGCTGTATATAGGGAGATGCAGGAAGAAAGATGTGTTTTTCCTGATGAAGTTCACTTCCAAATGCTGAGTCTTTATGGTGCTAGAAAAGACTTTAAGATGATAGAATCACTCTTTGAAAAGCTTGATTCTGATCCTAACATCAACAGAAAGGAGCTGCATCTTGTTCTTGCCAGCATTTATGAAAGAGCAAACAGACTAAATGATGCATCACGAATCATGAACAGAATAAGTGAAAGAGGAATTTTGAAGTTATGATCCTTTCTTAATCAACTCTTATCATAGCAAATCTCTCAACTGTTGTTTTTGTAAATTTCTCTCGAGCTGATTATGCTGTGCACACATTGTATTCTCATTAATTTCTAATGCAATACCTCAATTTCTGCTTGTGTAATCTTTGTTTGCTTATCTTAGGTACAAATTACAAGCGCCTTTCATTTATATACTCATAAAAATCACATTCTTCATGGTAAATAAGATCAGTTACAGACAAGACAGAAAAATGGAATTTTCTTTGTAATAGCTAGGATTTCTTCCTACCGTTCTAGGTAAGATTGTGCTCTGAACTTTGAACTCAAGTGGTACTTGTGTCTTACAGGGTAATGCAGGTATCCAAAGTTTATCCCCAAGAGATTCCTCATTCTTGGAAATTATAAAAGAGAAGAAAAAGATTTGATTTTGAGCTGTCTGTACCACAGCTTCTTCCTTCTTTAAAATACAAAATTTTTAAACACCCCCATAATTCTAATATATAACATCTATATATTATATATTTTCCTTAGATTATAAGTGTGAAACATTTGATTGAAAAAAAATAGATAGATTTTTGTTAATATTTCAAGTTATCATTTTTAATTAATTTTAGTTAGAAGTACTAATAATAAATTTTTTCTTTCAGATGCAAAGAGTTATAATTAGGTTGAATTACTTTTACAAGAGAATGATTTACTTCTAACATAATAATAATTCATATAAAACAAATTTTATAAAGCTTATTAACTTTCTTCATATTAAACAAATTTAGTTTGTTTAAAAAAAGGTTTCAAAATAAATTGACTTCGTTCATATTTTAATTTGGATAATTAAAGTTCAAATCACGATAAAACTGGTATCAGAGTTTCTTTCTTTCCATCTTTGTGGCTATCTCAATTCTTCTTCAATGGCTGCTCCACCTAATGCCTCTTGTTTTTGCGCCACCCAATAGCCAATTAGAGTGGAGGTCAAATATGACGGCTAAACGAATGCTATTTGGCTGTTTCTTTCCTTAAAAAAACAAAAGACATGCTGCCTTGATATCAGTGATACCCGTAAAATATTTTTCAAATACAAAATTTTTTATTGTCATTTTTGCAAAAATTATAGCATGAAAATTTAACAAATTTAATAAAATTTAATTGACTAAGAAAAAGGAATTGATTTGATATCTATTTGATAATATATTTTTAGTACATGCAATTGTATGGATTGAAATATAAAATTAGAATATAAATATTGTGGAAAAAAAATGCATGATAAAATATTGAATAAAAAATTATATTGAATCAATGTTTTTAATATATTTAGTGAAACAAAGTATATCACTTACTCTAAAACATGCATAACTTATCTTTTTATATATCATCAAATTAAAATAAATAGCTACTTTTGTTTTCTAACAATTTTCATTAATATTAAAATTTATTTAATTGTTTATTATGTATTATGTTGGATACTAATTAGTGAAATTGTCTAAGTTATTACTTTTAAAAAATTTTAAATCATCAAGCAACAACGATGAATATATTAAAAAATACACATTAAACACACGGCATATTTTTTACTTAATTCTTGTATTCAATAGCAATTGAATGACCAAATAGTTGACCATGACAAAATTGTTGATAAAAGGTATCCATTCATGACATAAATGAAACCAATTAACATTTTACATTTAAAAGTTATGTTATTGTACAAAAAAAAATTATGCTACTAATTCATGCAAAACAAATTAAATATAACATATATGATAGAATAAAACCTCATATATTAAATGTGGATAAACATGATATTTGAAAAAAAAAACTATAAATAAAAGGCAAAATTGTAAAGCGGAAGTAAAAAAAAAAAAAACCTATCTTCTCTCCCATTTCATGGAATTTGAGATTTCTATTTTGTCGTATTGTAAAAATTTTAGATACAATATTTTGTAATCAAAGAAGATTCATGCCAGTATAAAATTCAAGCCAATTGAAAAGTAAATGGCTTAAAATTATTAGAAATGAATAAATTATAAACAGAGTTTAATTGAATATGCATAAAAGAAAAAAAAGTAATACCAAGTATGATAAAATAAAAACAACTATTGGTTGAAAAAAGTAAACAAGAGAGAAAGAATACTTCAAGTAAAAATAATATATTTTTATTGTTAACAGTTATTAAAAAATCAAATCAAACTAAAAGAAGCTTAAAATCAAAATTAGTGGTTGCTCTATAAAAGATTCAATGAAAATTTTGGGCTAAAAATTTACCTAAACACAACTAAATAATTGTGTTTTGAAGGTTTTGTTGAGCGTTCGAACAATTTTAGTATAAAAGGATTCTCTATTTATAATAGGAAAACTATGGTAAAATTTTGAGTAAAAATGATTTGATTATTGGAAAGTGAATTTTTTTACACAAATGTAGTTTAAAGTTGAATATTTATAATTGAAAGAAATCTCACACAAAATTATTCTATATATTAATGATGGCAATTGAACTTTTATTGCCTTCTCTATAAATTTAATTGAAAATTATTTAATGTAAATAAAAAAATAAATTTATTCAATTTAATTTTTTGAATTATTAAAATGCATTTATTAGAAGACAAATGACAATTTTTTAATATCGTCTATATGTCAATAATATAGACCATCCACATTAGACATTTTCTTTTTTTACCTAAAGTTTTGATTTTTATATATTTATATAAAATATCATGTGCATGCTAGAGATTTTGAACTTTGAATCCAAATAAATTAGTGAGATTAATCTCAAATTAAGCTAAAAAGCTTATATGAATTGTACTACCCACACAATTCAGAGTATGTTTAAATTTTATATCCTCTATTTTTTTTTAATTGTATTGTTATTAATGTTGCTTTAAAGAAGTACTTATATTTCTTATATTTTTATTTAGCCTACATTTTGTGATAACTTATATTGGAAAAAACTTAAATAAAATTTTTTAGGTGAAATTCATTAAGTTTCCAATAAGAAATTATTAAATAAAAACTAAAATAAAAATTCAAAATCGATAAATTGAAAGATTTTATTATATAGATTAAGTGTGTAAATTTAGAAAAAAATTTAATATTTTTTTTAGATAGAGATTTTTAGTAAAAATATTGATAAAATTTTTACCATTGTATAAGTATCAATTAAATTTGAATTATAAGTAACATTTTAAATATTTTTTATATATTATTGATTTTTATATTAAACTCTATCAATATATCAATTTAGATTTTTAAAAAATTTTTTTATCAAATTATTTTTAAAAATTTTTAAAAAAGAAACATCATAAATTTCATTTAAAATACTCATTTAATTACATCCTATTTAGGATAGAGGTTACTAGAGGAAAAATAATGTTAAAGGGTCTATTTATGATAAAGGCTTAGTTAAATTTTTTTTTATTAAACTTCTTATGTTTTTCACAAACAAATAAATGGAAGAATTGAGAAAAATTAAAGAGGAACAAAAACAAAGGAAGGGCAAATTGATCTAATTAAGGAAAAAAGGCAAAAGAACTTATCTATCGATTGGATGTATTGGATGAATCTAAAGATGTCAATGGGTAGCATATGAGAAGGATAAAGCATTTCTTATTCTCATCTTCGGATTTTTATATTATATCCATTTCTGTATCTATACCCAAATGGTTTTTAAAATTTATCCCTATCCCTATCCCTATCCCTATCCCCATGGGTATTTAATGGGTATGGGTAGTCTCTACACCCATAACTTTTTTAAAAAATAAAAACTAAAATTAATTTTTTTTTATTTTTATCTTGTATATTTAAGTAATTTTTTATAAATATATTGTAATAGATATTTTTCAATAAAAATATATTAATTTTAATTAATTTAAAATAATAATTTATATTATTTAATAAAAATTTTATTTACTAAATATATATAATTATATATATAAGATACGAGTACGGGAAGGGTGCCATATTACCTGTATCTATCCCCGTACCTAATAAAAATTTAAAATCATATCCATACCTATCTTCATACCTACAACATAATACCCATCCTTATCTCTAATCGGATAGAAAGTCGGGTTACCCATTAGGTATGAATAAAATTGAAATCCCTAAATGATTTAGTATATTAAACCAAGGAAGAAAGAATGATGGTAGAATTCCCCCTTGATCCAAAGCAATCCAAGATGATTATAGCTTTTAAAAAGTGTCATTGTTGGGATGAAATTATCACAATAGCTACGATGCTTTTTGTTGGAAATGCCATATTTTACCATCCAAAAAAGGTGAAATTTATGCAATTCCATTATGGGAATGTTAAAGTTCACATTGACTTGTTGAGGGTATATAATTATTAAAAGGAGACAGGTTTCTCATCTCATTGCTGCTATGCCAATTTTGTTGAGTCCAAAAGTATGAAAGGTGCAAGAGATACATAAAGGTTGGATTAAAATTTAGACTTGTTCAAGGTCAGGTTATTAGTTTGAATTTGAAAGTTTGCTCAAAATTTGAGAAAGCTTGAATATAAATATTAGGCTCGTTAAATGAGTCTGAATTTAAATTAAATGTCCATTTAAAAATGGATTAGATTGTGAGCATAACATTTAAGGTTCAGACCTAGTTCGACTTAATAATTATTTTTATATTTTTTTATAGTTATATCATATTACATACAAATAAATAGATAATTATATAATATATGTGTACACATTAATACTTTATGCCTACATGTATCTAATCTCACCCAAACATCAAATTAAATTAACAAAATCATTTTTGAGCTATATTTTTTTGATTATTTATTTGAATAGAGATCTACTTACATCAATATAAATGTGATACTATTTTTGATCAATTAAAATCAAATCTATAATACTTTTACTTAATCATTTTAATCCAAGGATAAAAAAAGTGTAACATTTGTACCTATATAAATGGATATCTCATCTATTTATTTTGTCATAATTAATATTTATTATAACTTTATTTTTAGTTTTTATTTAAAAAAATTAAAATCTAAATGGACCTAAATAGATATTGATAGCTTCTTTTGAAAATAGATTTGGTTTGGACAACAAATAAAACCTATATTTTGGACCGAATTGAATTTGAACAAATCTAAAACATATTATTATTTTGTTTAGATTCGACTCAAATTCAGTTTGATCCAACTCATGAACAAGTCTAGGTTAGAATCAAATTCAAATAAAATCTGAAGGATTTGGAAGCAATAAAGAAGGATATTGCATTAGGATTTTTCCCACATATAGTAAAAATCAAGGGTGCCATTGATGTTGGGGAAAACAAGCAAGATTTTAGAGTATAGAAAAAAAAATGGTGAAAGGTAAGCATCAAATTTCTGTTCCAAAGCATGTTGCATACCAAGAATTGGTATTTACAAAAGAAAGCATATGAGGCAAGTTACTGAGGTGAAGCTTGACTAGT